TTTGAGGTTTTGTTTTGTTTTTTCAAAACTAGTTCAGACTGGCCTCTGTGTGTGTGTGTGTGTGTGTGTGTGTGTGCGCACTGAGGATTGAACCCAAGGGCTCTGCAGTACGCTACATTCCCTGCACACATACCCTCTTTTTTGAGACATGGTCTTGCAAAGTCTTTAAATTGTCCAAGCTAGGCTCAGATTTGCAATCCTCCTTCACTCTCCAGGAGTCTTGCGAATTACAGCCCTGCGCCATCCGGCCTGGCTACTTTCATCATTTTTCAAAAAACAGCATGCCGGTCTGTTCTGTAGAGGATGCTTAGTGTTCTGGGTCAGTAACCTCTAATGATTACGGTTTTCTCTCTTCTGTAGGCGGGACTGGAAGTAGAAATGGTTTCTGGCTCCACAGTTGCTGTCCTAGGAGGAGGGTGTGTGTGTGTGTGTGTGTGTGTGTGTGTGTGTGTGTGTGAGACTGGGGATTGAACTCAGGGTCTCATGCATGCTAGCCAAGTGCTGTACCACTGAGCTACACCCTCAGCCCCACTTTATATTATTTTATTTTATTTTATTTTTTTGGTACCAGGATGTGCTTGCCAGGTAGGCGCTTATGCCACCGAGCTAACTCCCTGGCACCCAGCCCCATTTTAAACATGCAGTCCAGTCTGGTACATTAAGTACATTCACCATCACCATTGTCCGCTCCAAACCTTTTCATTATGCCAAGCTGAAACCCCATGCCCATTAAACAGTAATTTGCCATTGTCCCCCTCCCCCAGAACCTGGCACCTTACATTCTGCTGTCTATGAATTTGATTGCTCTAAGTCAGTGGCAAACCTATGGCACATGTGCCACAGCAGGCTGTTTGTATCATTGAGAGTTCTAAAAAGTTCACCACCTCTGCTTTAGGTAATCAGTAGAAGTAAAATTTATAATATATGTTCTTTTGTGCCTGGCTTATTCCACTAAGCTTGATGTCTTTCAGGTTCATCCTCATTGTAGCTTATGTCAGAACGTCCTTCCTTTTTAAGGCTGAGTAATATTCCACTATATGTGTATGCCACATTTTGTTTTTCCATTCATCTGTTAATGGACACGTGGGTTGCTCTACCTTTGTGGATTATAAATAATGCTACTATGTACATTGTTATACAAATATCAGTTTGAGTCCTGTTCATTGATTTTGAGTATATACCCAGAAATAGGATTGTTGGCTTATATAGTAATTCTATTTCATTTGTGGAAGAACCATGAAGATAAGAGATTTTGCTCTTTTGTTCACTAATCTGTGCCTAGAGCCTCCCAGAGTACATATTCGATGAATACTTGTTGAATTAACTTGTTTTGCTTTATTTTTTGAGACAGAATCTGACTATGTAATTCAGGCTGGCCTTGAACTCACTATGTAGCTCAGGCCGGGCTCAAATTTGAGGTAATCTTCCTGCTTCAGCCTCCTCTTTGCTGGATTATAGGCATCACCACCATGCCTAGCTCTGAATTAACTTTTTAATTTTTCTCTCTGTAGACAGCTTCTGCTTAGTGGTCCTGTGCTAACTTGTAATGCTTGCTCTGATTTTTTTTCTTTTTTCTTTTTTTTTTTTTGTCTTTTTGAGACAGGTTCTCACTGTGCAGTTCAGGCTGACCTTGAGCTCACTTTATAGCCCAGGCTGGACTCTAACTTGTAAAGATCCTCCTGCCTCAGCCTGCATAGTGCCAGGATTACAGGCGTGCACCACCACACCCAGCAGTTTGCTCTGATTTCAAGGCCCCCGAAACAGGCTCTTATTTTAGAACTTTTCTGGGGAACCCCATCAAGCTCACCAGCTTTTTATAGAATTTACATTTTTCCATTGCCCTTTCGGCGCCTGGCCCCTATGTCTTCCTTAGAAGCTCCTTCCATTGCCAGCACAGGCCTCATTTACAACTCACTACCACCCTTGCCTAATGTTTCTCTGGATCCCTTTTAGATTAGCCTGCGTCTCATTTCTTGAGCTCACTTCCCTGTGTCCCAAATGCTCCTGCTGCTTCTTGTGTAAAAATCATTTTCATAAAAGGCAGAGACCAAAAGCACAGAGAGAATTCTTTCATTTTCTCCACCTTCTGGCACCTTCAAGACTAAAGCTCAAGCCTTGTTCTTGTTCCAAATATAACATTTTAAAAATTGTTCTTCAAATTTATTTACCACAGTGAGCTACATAGAGCTTCCCAGCACTATTCTTCTAAGTCCCTGGCAGCCTCTAATATAGGCATTTCTGCTAGAAAACTTTATATGCTTTTTGAAAAGACTCACATTCTGAAATCACATTAGTGAGAATAGGGGGGCCTACAGGAAAAAGAGGGTTAGAACAGACCACACAACACTTACAGAGCTCTGTACCCAGAACCCTGTAAACACAGTCACAACCTCAATAAAAATATCGGCAGAGTTAAATCTCCACTAGCATTTGAACCCTGAATCCCAGTCAGTCCTTTGCAGCTTATGCCCTTTATTATTGTGTACTTCCTCCAGTAAATTCCAGTGAACCGTCACTTCTAATAGCATCTTCATCAAAAATTAAAATCTAAGGTAGGGTCTGTCTTCTTCACTTGTCCATTGTTTTAATATTGAGGTGAATTTCTTTGCACTTTTGTCATCTATATCTGTTACTTCACCAGATAGTTTAAGTGAAACCAAGCGAAAACTACATCTAAAGAAGACATTCTGTTGAATTTTCTTAAGGTCTTCCTACATTGCTGCTGTTCTCTAGGTGTGAGATGTGCCTCTAATCACATCAGGGGCTAAAGCTAGGGAAGTTTCGTATGAACTGTCATGACTTCCATATTATACTGATGTCCTCACCCCCTTTGACCAGTGGCAGATGAGCAAGTTCACATTAAAGGAGCAGTCCTTGTCTGTATTTGATGTGGTCAATGGCTTTTTTTTTAAATCCTTGAACTTTTTTTTATTGTTGTTTTTGTGGTACTGGGGATTAAACCCAGAACCTTGTGCTTGCCAGGCAAGCGCTCTATCACTGAGCTATGTTCTCAGCACCATGTATGTATGTATGAATTTATTTATGCAATTGCCCAGTCTGGCCTTGAACATGTCATCCTCCTGCCTCACCTTCCTGCGTAGCTGGGATTATATAGGTCCGTACCACCAAGCCCAGTAACTCTTGAACTTCTTAGCTTGCTGTGCTTCCTTGTTGTTATCTTTTATTAGCTTTTCCCCTTTCTCCTTATTGAAAAAGAAAAGGACAGTGGTAGGAAGGTTTACACCATATACTGTATACCTTGCTTGGGCTTTAGAGCAGGTAGTTCTGGATTCTTACCTTGGCCTATCCACTGTTACTTCAAGGGTCATGTGAGTCATGTTATTTACTCATGTTACTTACTCTTCTTGGCCCTCAGGGTCTACCTCAGCGAGAAAAAACCCTCACTTTGAAGTAATTGGTGTTGTAAAGATGAACATTGATGTATATAAAGCATATGATATAATCAGAGACTTACTAAATGGCAGCTGTTAAGATTGGGGTCATTTGCGGAATTTCCCAGCTAGGAATCATCTTCCCTCCCAGATTCTGGTTCTGTGACTCCTGTGTATCTGTGTTCTGACACACACTAAAACTCGGCTCCATGGTCACATTGCTGCTTTACCTCATCACAGGGGCCCCTTGCATCTAAGGCTTGGCATATGGTGGTTGCAAGTATATTACTGATTAATTGAACTGAAATTATGCATCTTTATATTTAAGCTTTTGGCATACATTAATTTTTTCAGTGCTTTGTATAACTCAAATTCTTAAATGTTTAAGGAAGGCAAAACTAGGAGTACTGCTGGGCATGGTGGTGCACACCTGTAATCCCAGCGCTAGGGAGGCTGAGGCAGGAGGATCCCTGTGAGTTCAAGGCCAGTCTGAACTGCTTAGCAAAACCCTATCTCAAAAAAAAAAAAAAAATCTAGGAATACCTGTATAAAACTGAGTCAGCCAGGGGGTTGTGGTGCATGCCTATAATCCCAGCACTCAGGAGGCTGAGGCAGGATGGCCACAAGTTCAAGGCCAGCCTGTGGTACATAGTGAATTGAAGGCCAGCCTGAAGCACATAGCAAGACCCTGTCTCAAAAAAACAACAAAAAGTTACCTTTTCAATTGCTACATTAAAATACTAAGTATGAAAGAATTAAGGGTATCCTGACTTCCTGTGGAATCACTTTATTCTGAAGAATGGATAGACCCATACAGGAAGGGCCTCATTTCTGAGCCTTTGAAAGTATAGAGTCTACCTTGGGAGTATAGAAAAGGACTTTTGATAGTGGAGGATCATTATCTTATTATTTAAAAATAATGTTTGTAAAGAGAACACTGAAGAAAATGTACATGCTCGGTGATATATATACATGTAATTGTAAACTCATCACTTGATCTCATTTATGTAAAAATATGCATTCCTAACGACTCGTACTGTTACTCTGTTGCAACAACCCTTATAAAGTAGGTGCTACTATCTTCCTTTCGCAGAAGGGATAAATGATACTTAGAGGGGTCAGGTAATTTCCCAAGTTCACAGTTGGTGACAGAGCTCGCACTGGATACCTGGTCAGTCAGGCTCAAAAGCCCGTACTCTTTTTTTCTTTTTTTTCAGGGGATGGGAGTGGCGGACCCTCTACCACTGAACTGCAGCCCCATCTCTTTTCTATTCTTGGAGACAGTGTCTAAGTTGCCAAGGCTGGCCTTGAACTTGAGATCCCCTTCCTCAGCCTCCCAAGTATCTGGGATTACAAGCAGTGGATTACAAACTCTCATACTCTTAATCACTGTGTGAGGAAGAGAGAAATCTATCCACGCATTCATTGTCTTTGGGAAGTCGTTTTTCTCCTCTGTTCGCCAGGTTTCTCCTCTTGGATTTTCTGTAGGAATTGAACATTAAACTTTTACATAGGGATGAAGAGGTGATAAAATTTAAAGGACAAAGCTGTGCTTTAGGACAAAAGAATTCATCCCCGTTTCCTTTTCCACTTTTCTAAACTTTCCAGAATTGCTGGTGACTACCCCACTTCTGCAGGCCACTGAGGCCCTGTCCCCAGAAGCCGAAGAAGCCAGCACAGCACTCATTGCAGGTAACACAGACTGAGCCAAATCCAAGAGGACCCCCAGGATTAGGAGCTCTCTTGTCCAGAGACAGCTGGAGCCCTGTGTGGTAAAATAAGATTGTCCCCCAACAGGAAAATCACTTCAGCCCAAGAAACCAAATCCATTCATGGGCGCACTCTGGCACATAGGTTCTACACATGCACACGCACTGCTCTGAGACACTCAGCCTCTGCACTGCCAGTAAATGATGGGTTGAGGGGTGACCAAAAATAGGCATTGGTGCATATGGACACCACCTCGAGTGTGGGGAGGGATGAGGACATACGTGGTTTGTTGAGTGGTGAGAAGAGTGGGAGGATGAGAGAAACTGCTACAGGAAGCTGTGGACTTAAAAACACCCTTTCCTGTTGGGATAAGCTGCTGCTTACTTCCCATTCTATCGTAATTGTCAGGAAATCGTTTGGGAGGGAGTTGTTTTGTCCGAAATCAAAAGCGTTATGTCCTTAGCTTAAGTACCAGGAGACTGCAGATACCAGGTACATGAAAGCTGGGTTTGGTGGGGGCACATAGATTTGGAAGTGGGTGCTAATTAACTAAAACAAGAGGATCCTTTTGAAGAGTAAGGAAACTGTGTGATTCAGGGATCCCAGTGATTCCTGAGATGTCCTCAGCCCTGAAACATGTCTCCATTTTCCCTCTCCTTTCCAAGTGGTTATCACCGTGGTCTTCCTCACCCTGCTCTCGGTCGTGATCCTGATCTTCTTTTACCTGTACAAGAACAAAGGCAGCTACGTCACCTATGAACCTACGGAAGGCGAGCCCAGCGCCATCCTCCAGATGGAGAGTGACTCGGCCAAGGGCAGAGAGAAGGAGGAGTATTTCATCTAATATTACGAGGCCCCATGGAGCTAAGTGCTGGCTCTAGTGCTAATACAGTGACTGCTTAATTTATTAGCTCCAAGTTTTACCTGAAGCCAGTGACTTGACACTGATTGAAGTGGGAAAATCCAAGCTCCTTCTAAGACATAGGCCCAAATGCCAGCATCACTGACTCCAGGGACCAGAAGTTGCTTACAGTGTTGGTAGGCCTCTGGAATAGAACGGATGTCTGACTAGCCAACAGGTGGGGCTATTCCAGGGAACATTTGAGTACGTGCCTTCATGGGGGTGAGGGTCACTGGCTACTGCTCCACTGTGTGCCCTCTGTGGTCACCTCGTTATAGGCCCAGAAGGAAATATCCATAGAAGTTCTGCCCGGAGACTAGATACCAGAGTGGAAGGCCAGACCCAGAGGAGCAGGAGGCTCTGGGGTCTCACCTCCTGATAAATGTGCTGTGTCCTTGTCTGAGCCCTTCCTTCCCACATTCCCCAACAACCTCATACTTGTGCTGTTAACACAAATTAAAACTTTTTCCTTGATACAGAAGTCAGATTTTCATATGCAACTGCCCTTTGACTTATCTTGCTTAAACCTGGACGTTTTCTTTTGTTAGTTTAACTCGTTTGCACCTGTTCTCTCCCAAGCAGTAAGAGCCCTAGGGAAGCTCCATGACTTCCCAGAACAGCCTCATTAGAAACATCCTGGGAGATGAGTTGGTTTAGCCTCCATCCCAGTGGGGGCCAAAATTTCCCAGACCCGGTATGTATACACAGAGGAAACCAGGAGTGATCTGCCTTCCCCACCAGTATCCTTGGAATCCAGCCAAGAAGTGCCTAGAATTTAACTTGTCTCAAAGAGAGGGATGTTTAAAAGGCCCAGATGTTGTTTACTTTGGAATTAAGCTAGTCTTCCTTTGAGACCTGAATGTATTGCCCTCAGTGTCCCAGCTCAAGCCCACCCAAGGTAAAACCCAGGAGCTGGGGAGTTCTAGTTTTCAGAACTTTGGAGAAACTAACTGAAGGCCTCCCCAGATACAAACAGGCTGCTAAACTATTTCTCAACCCAAAATTTAAAGCAAGTGAAGGGAACTGGTTGTTCTCTTATTACTAAGTTTAAGTTCTTTTTTTTTTTTTTTTGTCTTTTGGAGACAGGGTCTCGCTATGCAGTTCAGGCTGGCCTTGAGCTCACTTGGTAGCCCAGGCTGGTCTCAAACTTACAATGATCCTCCTGCCTCAGCCACTTGAGTGCTGGGATTACAGGCATGCACTACCATGCCCGGCTCTTAAGTTTAAATTTTGAATTCCAGAATCTGAGTTTTGGTAGTAAAGTGAAGAAAAGTGTATCTAAAATGGAACTCATGAAAATAGTCAAATCTTGGCCTTGTACTCCTGCATTTATTTCAAAGCCTTCATTAAAGAAAATGGAAGAGCAGTAACACCTAGCGGAGTTCCATGTGGGATATATACAAAGAGAGAAGCAAAAGAAATCTATAAACAAGCTAAGTAAAGAATCCTTGGAGTGAGGTGTAATGCAACTTCATCACTTTATTCAAATCTTCAAAATAGTCTTTATTCTACATTTTTAGTATAAAAAATCCACAAGTTAAGTGCACCACAGTGTAGAGAGAGACATACAACGCTGAACTTCCATAACAGTCAATGGTACAGTCAAACATCACATGTACAGAACACAAAATTTAGATGAACTGAAATTATAAGATAAAATAAAATCCAATTTCAGAAAACACAAATCAAAATATTAAGGATCCCTGAAATAGTCTTAACCCTAATGAGATTCCACTGGACTCAAAGTCATTTTACAGTGAAGCATTCACCATGTGACCCCATTCACCCAGTTTAGGTATTCTTGGGAGCCATGGGCGGCTACATCAGACACTCTGTCAAAAACATGGCAACCAGTTTTTGATCTGAAAACTCCCCCTTAATTTGGCTCTGAAGTCAGGCTTTTGAAATGCATCCTTCTCCTTGCCCCTCTTATTTTAAACAAACTCTCCTATTGGGCATTTTGCACTGATACCTTTTTTTGTTAAAACAAAGCTCAGTTTTTCTGGCACCAAAGCAAATTCGGGTTAGGTCTGTGTATGGAGAAACAAGCTCTGAGGAGGATCCAAAAGGCACCCTCCACTTTTGCCTGAGGAGATATAAAAGCAGGCGTAGTGGGGCCTGTGGTGGGGCACATGGGGGTTTCAGAGGATCCTTATGAAAGACAAGTTAAAAGATGGCAAGTGGGGAGAAGTGCAAGGAGAGAAGGAAATGACTGGCTTTCTGTCCTGCACCACTGATTCAATGGAGATTGGCAGGAGGGAATGGAAGACTAGGGTTGGAGACAGCACGTGGGCAGAGGATGGAAAGGAAGAGGCGGACAGCTAATGCATTTAACAAGTAATATAAATCAAAGGTTGAAAGGAGATTAAAGACCAATCAGAATAATTTGGCAACTTTAATTCTTAGGAAGATCAAAGTTCCCTCCAAACCTAATTTGATGTTTTATTACTAAAAGCAAAGACCAGTATGGTACAGTATTACTCCGGAGGAATTAAAGGAAGATCCTTAGGGCTGCTTCACCCACATTCATTTTATGAATGGATTCCCTCCCCTACCTCAAAATGCTTTAGGGAGGTACTGCTACCATTACATGGTTCCTTATTAAATTTGAAAAGTGCCTGAAGTTTGGGCACCAGAAAGACACCCCAACAACATGTGTCTAAACTGCAATTTCAGGTTAATATGACTAAAGCAGTTACATTGTGAGAAGTGCTGAAGGTATGTGATGTCTTTCCTGGCACAGAGGCGGCGCTGGTTCCTCACCAGATGGTGTAGCCACCATCTGAGCCACCCATGAAGAAGTTTCCCTTCCGCTGAGTTACGAGGACATTGGCTCCCTGCATGACTGCAAGCTGAGCAGCATTAGGAGGGCATCCAGGAGGCGGAGGCTGGAAGGGAAGGACAAGGTAGAATGGGCACAGGGCAGCTGATACAAGGGAAGGGAACACAGGTGAAGCAGATGCTACTAGGGAGATGGCCACGTGTAACCAACAGCATTTTAAGGAGCTGATTCTGCCACCAATTTCAGTTCTAAAGCACGTATGTTTTCTCTGTGAACCCAAGACACAAGAAAGGGAGCCTATCACTCATTCAAAAGGTTCTAGCTCCAAGATAAAGCCTATGCATAAATACAAAACCCATTTTCAGAAGAGAAAATAGTTCCCACTCACACTCCCCAAACAGGGACTAGGTGCCAGGTCCATGGCCAAATCCCGGATGATCCCTAGGTGATGTGGTGTTTTACTTTGGGAGGGAAGCTTTGCACATGTTAAACACACACTACCACTGAGCCACATCCGCAGCCCTCTGGATACTGTTTATGGAGACCACCGGGTTACCTAAGGCTCACTAGCTTCATCTCTAGTGTGTGGTTCCTGAGTAGACAGCCTTAGCAAAGACTGTGAACTCTTAAGTCCCACGCATTGGGGAACTAAGTAGACAGCAACAATAACCAAAAAGCTAAGTACTAGGGATTATGGTTCTATGTTTTTAATCATCTTGGATCCTAATACAGTACCACGCTGATGAAATACTAAGTAAATGCTTACAGAATGAATAAGGAACATTACTAGACCAGTTCACTGTATCAAAATGAACTGGAAAAGCAACAAGCAGAACTCTGACAGAAAAATAAAGCAATCCAGTTGACTTGGTCCCCAGAGAATGTGCTAGTGCTATACAAATGCCATCGTTCTCCTGTCCCCTCAGCCACTTTCTGCTTATCAGATGGCAGCTGTTATACCAAAATAAACACCTATTTTCTAGCAGCAGGGGGAGAATGAGTATAAATGAGTCATTTCAGAAAGTGAAAACACACAAGGGCTGAGTTTCTTCTGAGCGCATACTCACAGGAATGTTGCCAGCAGTAGCCCCAGCTCCAAATCTGGCACCTGCATCATACCCTCCTTCCACCAGCACTGTTGAACCAGGAGGATAGATGGGACCAACTGGATAATAAGCCATGGGAATTGTGGAACCTAAGGGCCCAACAGCCACAGACTGGGCCATGGGAAGATACAGAGAGGCGCCAGGAAATGCAGCTGACATGGTAGGAACTGTGGCAGCCCCTGGGTGCACAAAGCTCGGACGATAGAGCTAAAAAGGCAGAAGAGAAGGCAAAATGTTACTTTATATTCCTACTTCAAATCTCTTTAATGAAGGGGCGGCGAATATAGCTTGGTGGCATAAGCGCCAGCCTGGCAAGTGCAGGGTCCTGAGTTGGATTCCCGCTTCCAAAAAAACCCAAAAAAACAAATCTCTTTGAGTTAGTCTTTTTCTTTGTGCTGCTGAGGATTGAAACTAGGATCTTGCCAGGCGTGGTGGCGCATGCCTGTAATCCCAGCACTTGGGAGCTGAGGCAGGAGGATCACTGCGAGTTCAAGGCCAGCCTGGGCTACATAAGTGAGTTCAAGGCCAACTTGAACTACACAGTGAGACCCTGTCACAAAAAGACAAAAAAAGGGAACTAGGATCTACACATGCTACCTAAGCCCTCAACCACTGAACTACATCCTTTAAACATTTTTTCCACATCGTTCTGAGATAAGCATCTAAGTTTCCCAGGCCAATCTTGAACTTGTGACCTCCTGCCTCGGCCTCCCAAATAGCTGGGATTACAGGTGTGTACGACCACACCCAGGCTAAGTCAATTCTTAATTCTCCTAGTGCACATTATACTTTTTGTGAGTTATGTGTCTTTCCTCTGGCATTCAATATTCTAGATCATTTCCTGCTAATGTCAGGCTCAAGGCACACAAACTCATCTTAACCTCAGCCTGTGCCAAAAAACATAATCAGGGAACGCATTCTCAAGCCCAACTCATTGCTGCATTACATAATGTTTTAGATTATTCCTCTGATCGCTTTTCTGTTTGTGAAGTCAAGAGTCAGCTAAGGACTCAAATGTAGTCCAAGAGTATGCTCAACTAGCAAGTCTGGCCAACGGGCAGCACCTCGGAGTAGGCCGGCGGAGCCTCGGTGTAGGGCGGCGCCTGAGGAAGATGCAGGGTCTGAGGGTAGACCGGGTTCCCAGGAGGCTGCACAGGGTAGGTTGGCTGCGTTGGATATTGACCTGGAAGACAAGAAAAAACTCAGGTTGCCAACCATAGAGCCACCAAAACGGGCAGGGTATCTGGGTGGCTGACTTACTGGGAGTGAGCCGATTTCCCCTGCAGGCCTGTTTTTTTGGAGCTAAGAAAATAAGCACTGTTTCTATACCCTTATAATGGAAGGTGCTGGGTTCTGATTGGGCAGGAAAGGCGCTGTTTCCCCGGGTACAGTGCAAGGGGAAGTCCGGCTGGGCCCAGATCCCCTCGAATGTAGGCCGGCTCTGGGACTTGTTTCTCTGCTTCCGGACTGCTGATGTATCTCAGGCGCTTCCGCTACGGGCAGTCTCCAGAGGCCAAAGTGTCAGCACCCCCGACTGAGGGGCGGCGGTTCTGATTATCTACCTCCCGGTTTCTTATTCAAGGTCGACTTCCC